GAATACAATGTGGCCAAACCTGAGAAAAGTGTTGGACTATGTAAATATGTGTTTTTAGTTTATAAACAATCTGAAAAACTACAGTTGAACACTATCGACCGAACTGCATTCAAAACTAGAAATTTTTCAGCCGAAAACAAACTGATTGGGCCAGTTGCGGGAAATTTTTTCAAAATGAAATGACGTGATTGTGAGTCACAAGGCACAGCGAAAAAGAATCAATTTAAAATATCAATCCAACTGCTTTTTTATTTAAAAATCTCAAACTAAAACTGAATTTGACTAATAATAAAAATCGCCCAATGTCAGAAACATTGAGAAAGTATATAAAAGAATGTCAATTTTAATAGAAAACGAGCATCATTTTCCAATGCAAATCAATTTGCCTACTCAATAGCAATCGCCATCACACCGATTGGCAATCTCCTTCTTCTCTGACAAATTGGCAAGTGCTGCAAACGTGCCTGATGACAAACTGCTGGCTTCCCTTTGGTTTGTGCTGTTCTTGTGTGCCAACTGTTTTCCTTTCCTCCTCCTTTTCTGCTTGGAGAAAACAACACAAACAGGAAAAGAAGGCAAATCAAAAGCTTGACATCGAGCCCTTATTATCTTATTTAAATGTCACATCTATTATAATGAGACACACGCGTACAAAACGAAAGCAGAGAATGGTGGACAAGAGAACGGGAAGCGACGACAAGCGGTAATCAAATTTAAGAGAGAGCACACTTTGAAGTGAGATACGGGGCCAATTTGTCCATTGCCAGAGAAGGAGCAGAAATGTATTGTGGTAGTGAGAGTTGTCGTCTTTTTGTGTAGACTGCTCTGCCAATTACCGCTGCAGCATTGAAAAGAGAAAGAATCTCCTTATTACCGCCTTGTTACCTACCTAGCTGCTGTCTCCTCAAGCTCTGCGTTGACAAATTGAATCATTCGCAATTACTGAAAGGTAAGTTGTAAGTTGTAAGCACTCAATTGAGTTTATTGCAGCAGTATTTTCAGTACTGTGGGACAACTTGGGGACAGGAAAGGAAAGGGGATTTAGCGTTTGCAGCACTGCTTTAGCTTTGTCCGGCAGCTCAGCTAATCTTGGTACTGGGCCAGGTAGTAGTTGCCAGCAACAGGACCCTGAAGGCCGTTCTTTACGGCAAAGTCGCGGATTCGAAAGCTACGTCGCTCCTCACGACTGCTGCTGCTGTTGATTGGCTTGAAATCGGGGCTAATGAAGCCAGTGGGCTGCTTGTACAGCAGCAAACAGTAGCGATGAAGGCCGGTGTCTTTCCCCGGAGATGAAGGAACGTACTCCACCAGCGTCTGACCACTGCTTAGGTCTTGGCCTCTTACGTTCACCACTAGCCAGTGCACGAATTCGCGGTACTTTGGATCAGCTCTTGATGGTGCATCCGGATCGGTCAAGCACAGCGTATACAGCGCATTTGGCTCATCCACTCTCCAACTCAGGTACTCGGGAATGTCTTTGACTTGCGCCGGAGTCAGCTCGGCTCCAAGGTTGATGATTGTGCCTGAAGCGTACTTTACCTCTACCGTCAGCACCGGAGCTTCGTCCACTACATCAGGCACTATTTGTTGGTCTTTGAAGCCCGTTGACAAGCGGAGACCTCGTTTCTCACGTACATGCTCATCAAATTTTGCCTGGTAAAAGTTGCTGGCAATTAAAACTCCAAGATTGTACTTGGCAATGAAATTGCGACTGTTGAATCGTAGCCGAGCTGTTGGCGGAAAAGCAGCCTTCAGNATGCTCATCAAATTTTGCCTGGTAAAAGTTGCCGGCAATTGGAACTCCAAGATTGTACTTGGCAATGAAGTTGCGACTGTTGAATCGTAGCCGAGCTGTTGGCGGAAAAGCAGCCTTCAGTTCATCAACGGGAAGTGCACCGGGCTGCTTCCAAATGGTCAGTACGTAACGATGCAGACCTAACGATAAGAGTCAGTTCATTTGTTGTTTTCTTCCACAACTTGCACTGAAGGCACTTACCTGTGCCGTCCGGAGGGCCTGATCCAACGTACTCCATAATAGTGACACCAGAGGAAATATCCGTTTTCTGAACATTTACTACCAACCAGTGCAGAACTTCACTGTAGATCGGGTTCGCTCGACTCGGCGCGTCCGGATCGGTGAAGAGCACCGTGTACAATGCTGTCGGATCAACGTCCGACCAGCTGACCGATGGAGTGTCTTTCACCTGAGTGGGCGTCAGTTCACCCCCCTGGTTCATCTCCACTCCTGACGGGTACTTGACCGTGGCCACAGACGACGGGGCGACGTCCAGGAGGTCGGGAACCACTTGATGAGCTTCCATTCTTAAGTAATCGTCTGAGAAGAGGCGATGCTGCTGCTGTTGTTTTGCAATCAATAATATTGCCACTATTATGACAGTCTTATGTAACTTGGAGCTGAGTACCGGCAGTGCAGTGCAGCGGTTTGGCCAGTGCCGGACCATTTATACGCGTTTATCATCTCCCTTGCACACAGAGTACTCTACTGCTGATACTGTACTCTAATCATTTCTCTTTATTAGTCTCTGGTTTAGTAGTAGTATGGAAAAAACAGTTTGGCAATGACTGTTGCAGTCTAATCTATCAATAGTCGTCTGTTAAAGGAGTGTGTCAATGTCATCACAAAGTCGTCTCTTGTCGTCTCTCGTCGAGGTTGAGCACGTCATTCTGCTGGACACACCACAACTTACTTTTGGCCCACTAGCCAATTGTTCGCAATTGCTCAGCCCGTCAACTGCTGGTGAAGGATGGGCACGTAGTCGTCGTACTTTGCAGTGAAAAAGTTGGCTGCCACCGGCGTGCCCAGCTTGTACTCATCAACGAGGTGACGTGTCTTGAAGGCGTAACGCCCCTCCGAGCTTCGGTTGCTCGCTTTCGGTCGATCCAACTCCAGGCGGCCTTTCGGTTGTTTGAAGACAAGTAGGACGTAGCGGTGCACTCCGGAGTCCTCCTTTGGTCCGCTGCCGATGTACTCCGAGTAGACGTCACCCTTCTCNCCCGTTACTTCTCGTCTCTGCATTCCGTGCATCGACCAGCATCACAGTGTAGAGGGAGTCCTTCTCTGCTCTCCACAGTATCTTCGCCGGAATGTCCTTCACCTGAGTGGGCGTCAGTTCATTGCCGGAGCGGATGAAGGCGCCTGAGCTGTAGAAGACAACAGCCGCCTGTTGAGGGGCAGCGTCCAGAAGGTCGGGAATGACCTGATGCAGTCGCAGAGCATCATCGAGCGCCTTGGCATTGCGGGCTCGCAAAAAGTCATCCGTTTGTGCCTGGTACAAGTTGCCAGCTATCAGCTGGAGATTTAACTTGCTGGCAAAATCACGACTGCTAAACTTGAACCGAGCTTGATAGGCGTCAAACTGGTCGGCCGATAGTGTCGCTGACTGCTTGAAAACCGTAAGCACATATCGATGAAGTCCGAGCCCTTCCGGTGGACCCGACCCAACGTAGGGCACTACAGTTTGCCCCTTGCCTATTTCAGCTCCGGATGGGA